AATAAATTTCCTGACATCTGAGCTGCATCTTGCCGTTGCATGAGAATGACAACGAGGAAAATATGCGGCTGCGAAGCTGTCACAAAATTTATTGATATCAATAAATCCGGCCGTATACACCTGTTTTAAATAGGTTCTAAAACCACAATAACCAATCTTCAATAACATACTTAAAGAAAACATCCGTAACTACAACAGGACTATTACGTGGAAGGAATATCTATCCGTCCAAACAACATGACTGGATTCGTATAGTTATCAGAGATTTGACAAAGGGTACGTTTTTACTAATATGGCATATTCTGTTTTAAGCGCAAGTTCAGGGATGGTCGGCTTAGGTGGATGAACTAACGTGAAATTATATTCAGTGGTATCGAAGGCATAAGGAAAAGATTTTTGCACAGATTTAGGAGTATACTAACCCCAAAACGCTAAACGTGATAGCAGAGGAAAGTTGAAACTAGAAGCCTCGAAAAAATGGAATAAAGTTCTGTTTAGTATTTTGTCATGAAACTACACAACACTTTCTCCCTAGAAACCCAGGATGCCCGTAATTATTAGGATGGGTTTGACAGACATCAAAAGTCAATTTGACCAAATTGTGAAAAACTCGGCGACCTCTGTGGGATTCGAACCCACGCCAGCAAGGGGAGGCTCTAGTGCGGCCAGCGCTCTAGCTAGCGCTCTAGCCAACCGAACTACCGAGGCCGCCGATTTTTTTCACATTGGGATCACATTAACTACTGATGATCTAAAAATTATTTGTGGGTTGCAGTGAACTAATGTTCTTCCGAATTGCATATAAAGGTATCATAAAAAAAACTAAAGATACATCACTGATGAAATATGAAGACGACCAGAGCTTGATCTTGCTGAGGAATGTTTCATTCCGAGTATTTAATGTTTTGCTTTCAGGTGTTATTTGATCGTTTGGGAGTCTTCGGATCTGGCTTTCGCATAAGCCCGCGTACTACCTGATTCGGTTTGTACCAGCTGCGATCGCACTGCTTTCCCGTTACCTATATTGTGGTTGATGGGTCATTAAAACGTATCCATAAGTGGCCATTCCGGTTCATCTTACCTAGATTGGCCCAAGTTCACAAGCATGGGGTGTCCATTGATATGTGAGCGCTTTTGAGAAATACAGATCAAAGTATCAATGCAAACTGCACAGATTGGGCAACAGTAGCTTAAGTAGTGTACCTCATAAATCCAAAATCCTAGCATTTTTTCCTACGGAAACGGTGGATATAGGGTTTTGTGGGTGGAGAATTAGAATAAGCAGTGAAATAAATTTTAATTACTGCTATATGCCTTTTTTATTTTATTTTATTCAGAAATATTGTTGATTCATATCTGTAGATTTTCCTTATCTGTATTATCGTTAAACTAATCGCGGAGAAACCCATTTATCAAAATGCAGGTTTTTAGAAATTCTCGAAGAAAAATACAAATGATGGTTATGGATTGTCTAATTTAACCTACCATTCTGCAGTTAGGTTAATTTAGTCCGCGGCGCGAAGCGCCGCCCACACCTTCTGATTACATGTAGAACAACTTACTTCAAGTGGCCGTGGGAAGCAAAGTCAACCATATTTTTCGACTTTCCACTTGTACAAATTTCCTTCACTGCCTATCTTATTTTCCTACTCCCAAAGCCCACATAAATACCGCTTCCGTGGAACAAAATTCTGCGATTAGGGGTATATGTGGTGCATTACTTAAACTACCTTTGTGGATTACACTTCTTGTTCCGGCGATAACTTCTACTTCTTCTCAATTGCTTTTTAGGACTTTACTTCTCACTCATATTGGAGTCTTAAATGTTTGTCACTAACCTGACAGATAATTGTCCTGTTCCCTAGCATTCGAGCAGACACTTAAAAAAGCAAAATTTGCATAAAAAATAACGGGAGCAACAGTATTGATTCATTCACTCACAGCAACAGCGCCTCGAGAAATCTGCACTATTCAGGTAATAAGACTCTATCTCTGTTATGAAGAACGGCAATAATCATCCAAATAGGAATCTTGCGTTACCGGACGAAATGGACTAACCGACCTCTAGGTTTAATCTCCGGTTTTCTTTTTCAGCGTTACGGCCAACTCTAATCATAAAGACTCGACCGGTCAATATAATAGTTTGTCCCAGTTTGAACTTTAGAATGTTCTTCGGTTTGAATTATTTGTACCTTTGCGAATTTAAACAAATTCTGGTGAAGAAAATAAAAATAATTATAAATTTAGCTGCGGGTTATCGTGCCATTATCGCAACCAATACAAATACACAGAAGTTGCAAGCGTTGTCGGGTATATAATTACGAAGCCTTGGTCTTCTAAAAATACCGCTCACATGCGTAGTCCTTTACTTATCTATTAGATTATCAGAAACTGGGTTCGATTGGATTATACAGGCTGTCCCAAAAAAAACGTGTACACATTTTAAATAATTGTAAACTTGGTATTTATTGTAATTTTAT